CCATATGATTTATTCTTATTAATACACGATGTATTAGAATGGGACCACATATAACTAAATGCGCAAATGTATAAATATGTGACTACATATTTCCAAAGCTAATATCCATTAACTTAGTATACAAATTATTAAGAAATTAGTGGTTTGTGCCTGTTTTCACACTTTCCATATTTTCTTCAAAATCTTGTTTCTAATCAGTTAATTATGTGAACATGAAAAATTTGATAACTCTTGAGTGAACATGGATAAAATACTGGTCTTTTTATCTTAATGGATTAGGTTAATAACAGACTACATGATTTAATGATTTTGAAATCATTTATTATTTAATAACTGATAACCCGTTGAGAGTCTCAGTAACAAGCAGAACTAATTTAAAAGATATCTATCTTGGGGGTATGGTGCCGCCAGCAGGTCAATCTGTACCTGTGAGGCGAGTGCATCAGCAGCCTGATGGCACCGTCAGGCCTTCAGATACCCCAAAATGGCTGCTGTGCTTTGGCCAGACCCCAAAAACGTAGGGCAAAGTTTACCAAGAAAGTAAACGGCCAAAAGTTAGGTATGTGGGAGACACACCCACAAACCACCTCCAACTCAGCTATATAAGTGGAGGCATGGCCTCTCTGGTTCCTGATCAAACTGCTTAACGGCCATGATCCCAGAGACTCAGAAACGAATCACAGAACCCAAAGACTTTTGGCAGAAATGTGTCCTTTTCCTCCAGTAGGTTACTGGGGCTGGGCCACTCTAGGTGGGAATAGGTTTCGTGCCTTGGCCTGTTCCCCTTGGTGGCCTGGTGACCGCCATCCTCCAGAGGCCACTGAAAAGTCAGGTTTGGGCCTGCAGTGACGAGAAACGTGGGACCTCACCAGATGGGGGTGGAACTGGCCCTTTCCTCCCCATTCCAGCGAGACCCCGAGTTGCCGCCTACAAACTGCCTCTCTGGCTCCTGATCAAGCTGACTGATGGCCATGATCCCAGAGACTCAGAAACAAATATCGAAACCCAGCGGTTTTTGGCAGAAATGTATCTGGACTGCATACACGGCCATGGCTCCAGATGCAAAAGGACTTAATCCAGAGTCCGAAAGCTTGCAGCAGAAAAGTGAATGGACCATGCATTAAACTACGACACCATGCCTCCCCGGGAGGGAAAAGATGTTGCTCCCTTCCGCCTTTCTCCCCCTGGCAGCAAGGTGGCTGCCCCGCCTCAGAGTTTATTGGAAAGCCAGGTGTAAGCCGGTGGTGACGGGGCAACTGCAGTCTCATGGGAAGGGGGGTGTTACTGGCTTGTCCTTCATGCCCTACCGAGTCACAAGTTGCCCCCCATGTGCGTCTCTCTGGCATGGCCATGGCTCCAGTGGCAAAAGGACTTAATCCAGAGCCCGGTGGCTTGCGGCAGAAAAGTAAATGGAACATGCGTTAAACTACAGTGTCATGCCTCCCCGGGAGGGAAAGGGTGTTGATCCCTTCCGCTTCCCCCCCCCCCCCCCCCCGCAGCAAGGTGGCCGCCTCCTCAGAGCTTATTGGAAAGCCAGTGGTGTCGGGGCAACCACAGTCTCATGGGAAGAGGGGCGGTACCAGCTCGTCCTTCACGCCCTACCGAGGTCACGAGTTGCCTCCCACAAGTGGCTCTCCTGCACGGCCATGGCTCCAGAGGCAAAAGGACTTAATCCAGAGCCTGGCGCTTGCGGCAGAAAAGTGAACGGACCGTGCGTTAAACTATGGCACCATGACTCCCCAAGAGGGAAAGGGTGTTGCTCCCGCCTTTTCTCCCCATCGGCAGCAAGGTGGCCACCGCCTCAGAGCGTATAGGAAAGCCATGTATGAGCCAGCGGTGACAGGGCAACTGCAGTTTCATGGGAAGGAGGGTGGTACCGGTTCATCCTTCACGCCCTACCAAGGTCCTGAGTTACCCCCCACAAGCGGCTCTCCAGCACAACCATAACACCAGACGCACAGAAACCCATCACTAAATTATCTGGCTTTTTGCAGAAATCCAAAACTGCGTAGCCACAATAGCAGCTGCACAACATTATATGATTCTCATAACCAGCTATAGAAAACAAAGTATTTCACAATGCCTTTTCAGCAATTCTGATTGTTGGGGGGAAATTCTAAACAATAATGGTACATCTTTTGTCGAAATGATGAAAGTAATCAATGTAGAGAAGAGTTAAGTAGAAATCATCTGCCTCACAGGCATTGGGTTGGGTGGGAGGGGGGTATATTGGGGTTCTTGGTGGTGAAATGTGAGTACTGTTGGAGGGAAAGGTGTTTGATCATTGTATGACCGAGACTTAAACCTGAAAGCTTAGTAACTCTTCCCACAATGATTCAATAAATAAATAAAAGACAAAAAAATAAATAAAACTGTGAAAAAAAAAGAAAGGTGGAGTTCATACCCAATTTAATCAGCTAATCAGTGGCTGAATAAAAGCAGTACTCCTATATAAAAAACAAAAAAAAAGATATTTTTCTTAAAAGAGAAATTACTGCTAGTAAGTGTTGAGTGAAATGAGTAAGATAATACACTGTTGACAATAATGCAAAGCATTTTTTGAAAAAAATGTGGATAAGTAAATTCAGTGAATAAAAAAAGAAGATTCAGGACCTCTGAATAAATATTCTCTAGGGATTTTTTGACAACTCTAGGGACTTTTCCAAAAGGCCAATTGAAAATAAGATAAAAAGATATTTTTATAGAGACAAATAGAATATAAGAACCAAGATAGTGAGACAGTGTGAAAGAGAAAAATAATTTTTAATTGTCCTATAACTACTAAACAGTTTTATAAAACATTTAAATGACAAAATTTTACAGTAAAAATTATATAATTTTTAAAATTTAAATGAATGAGAAAAAGGCAGAATTTATAATTACATATTCATTTTCAACTTTTATTTATAAAAGTAAGGCATCAAACATATTAAAGATTGTAATAAATTCTTAACAGTAGTCATCAGTTTTTTACAATACTTATAGTTCACTCAAGTTTTGGTTTTATCTAGAAAAGTGTAAAAGTTTTCTAAAACATTGTACCAGAACAAAATTTTGTTTACTCTAGTTATATTAAATCACCACTAGTAGTCCTAAAGCCTGGGGAACTCTGAGCTGAACTGAAGGAACTAAAAGAACTCTTGTTGAGGAGCTAAAAGAATCTGGTATCTTGCGAACATAACAAAACAAAATGGAACATAATCAGAAATAAAAATTTCTGAAGGAAAATCATTAGCTCTGTGTGAGAGATTGTCCAGAGGACTGGAATGCATGCTTTGTGTATGCGAGCCCTGGGTTTGATGCCCACCACCACAAAGTTCCCCAAGCATCACTGGGAGTGAATCCTGAACCCTAAGATGAACCAACCCACAGAATCCCAACCCATCTGAAAATTAAAATATTTCAGCTTTTTATATTAAATTGCATATTGAAGTAAACTTTCTCATTACTTTGAGAGTGAAACATTTGAAATTAAATCTTGATGATTTATATACTATTCATAAAACCAAAGTAATGACTTCACAGCAATATTGAAATACTTTTTCAAATATGACCAAATATTAAATCAGTTTCCTTGTTACAATGCTCATAAGATCCCTTCCAACAGTCAGAAAAACCTAAATCAAAAGTTTCACAACCATTGAGAGTCAGTGATCAGTGTAATTTTATTTCTAATATGGAAAACAAAGAGAACTAAAGCAGATCTACAAAAATGTGCAATATGCTGAATCCAAAATGATTTTGCTGGGTCCGCAGATGATTCTGATATTTACTGTTGAAAAGAGTATTAAAAAAACTTACTTGGTCTGCAACCTGGTGGTCCTCCACTCCCAGAAGGTCACCACATTGATGCCGAACTTAGTGCGGACACCCAATTGGCATAGCACACTACAGCCCAGAACTCCTGTAGTGATAGCACAACGGTAGGGCATTTGCCTTGCACATAGCGGGCCTGGCTGAGCCAGGTTCAATTCCTCCATCCCTCTTGAGAGCCTGGCAAGCTACCAAGAGTATCTCGCCCGCATGGCAAAGCCTGGCAAGCTACTGGTGATGGACGTATATCATATGCCAAACACAGTAACAAGGAGTTTCACAATGGAGAAGTTACTGGGCCCGCTAGAGCAAATCAAAGAACAATGGGAGGACAATGCCAGTGACAGTGACTTGATCTGCATACTACTAGTACACTATAATGGCATTATTATTCTTAATTTTTATTTACTCCTTCATGTCAAGGATAGAGATTTGAACTACAGTGTTTCACAGTATAGATCTTATTTATAGTAAATGTCTGTGAAATACGTACATATATAATCTTTCTGAGATCTTTATTTCTTCATTTTAGTAATCTTAGAAACAGTTAAAATAAGGTAGCAATGTTTCAGAATGTCATTCTCACTGGGTAAAATTGAGATTTAAAAGACTTTTGAAGAAAGCGGGATTGTTTTTAAATGTTTCTAACCTAGATTAAATCTAAAACTAAAGAAAACTTAGTACTATAAAGATGACGAGGTCTTTATATTTTCAGGTGCCAATTTCTTCTTGTATTGATTCCAAGACAATGATGCTATTCAAACTTTTATTGCCTCGGATTATTTGTTTTTCTAAAATATACACAGCTGACCACACTGCAGCCCCTCGGCCCTCCAAAGAACAGAGACACTAATCACTGAGAACATGTCCAGTGGAGGAGCAACTTCAAACAGGCTCTGTAAACCCAGGCCCCATGGAGATGGTGGACTGGGTACTTTTGGGGGAGTGGATTGTCCTTTACAGAGCAGAAATGTAGCTGCTAGAGGCCTGCACCCATTAGTGGCCTATTGTCCTGGTCCAACATAACTGCACAAAGAAAAACATAGATTGTAGAAGAAAGTACTCCAGTTTAAATTACTTTACTTTAAATACAGCTACGCCTACAGTACATCCAGCTGGTCCATGTATTTATATGTATTTCATGCCACAAGAATTATACTCGGCAGAGGAGATAAATTACTACATACCTGGGAGGCGCTGTTGGATAAATAATTTTGATGTGCTGGAATGTTAAATCTTGATTTAAAACCTGCTTGATCCACCGTCTTACTCCTTGTCCAGAATCACCTGATGAATCACAAAATCTAGATTAAAACCAAGCATTTTGATACCACTGTGCATTTAAAAGAAATCCATTAACTCTTGTCATGCAAAGGCTGGACTGGAATTTTAAAAAAGCCCACAGTTTAAAAAAAAAAAACTGATGTGAATGAAATGGTAAAAAAGGAAGGAATATTTTGGCTAGTGAATTCTTTGGAGAACTTGTTTGAGCTTGAGTTTTAAATTCAGGAACCAATCAATAAGCCAAGGATAAAAACAATTTAAAATATCACTATATCTGGGTGTTCTTTTTCACTCTTATTCTCTCAAACAAAAATTTTCTCAAGAGTTTTTAAACATTGTAGTTGGAGCAACCATAGGTATCCTTTCTTGGTTAAAACAATTCCAATTTTCCCAAAAAAGATATTCCATCTTCATTTTGAACTTGAAGAAAATTGAATTTTTATAACATGGTGACAAACGTGACCTAAAATAATGATAAATACACTTCCAGGTGTGGCTGGAGCAATAGCACAGTGGACAGGGCGTTTGCCTTGCGCACAGCCAACCCAATCGACCGGGTTTTGATTCCTCCCCCCGTTTCGAGGGCCTGGCAAGCTACCGAGGGTATCTCGCCCACTGAGCAAAGCCTGACAAGAGACCTGTGACATATTCGATATGCCAAACACAGTAACAAGTCTCACAATGGAGACGTTACTGGGCCCGAGCAAATTGATGAACAAAGGGAGGACAGTGACAGTGACACCCCCAGGTGAGAAAATAACAAAAACTCAGTCAAGTATTACTATCTGTTCATCTGTATTTGCCCCACCTCCAAATCTGGGAAGAAACAGAAGTTCTTCTTAGCCCCGAACTGGATATTTTAATGGTAATGCTTGAGTCTATTACAGAATCTTTTCATGAAGATGAAAATCCAAAATATATTTCCTGAATACTTACTAGTGTCTGGCATTGTGCTGAAGGTGTTGGGGGGAATGGTTGGGGGAGAAGGAGCCCCCTCTCTCGGAGCAAAGTTTCTTATGAAAATCAGACATGGCATCTATGCTCATACTGTGAAAGACTATTCCGTGTGCTCAGAGAATTCAGTGCTGACCCCACTGAGAGGGCAAGGAACCGGCCCCAGCATCTAAGTGCCCCAGGGTAAGGGCAGCTGTGGGCTTTATTCCTGTGATGCTTTGTCTAGGGAGTGCTGAGAACCCAATGGAGGGAGACCAGGCAGCTAATGCTCTAACCCAGGATGGAGGAAAGGGACGCACAGAAGGATCTCAGATGGCACAGGGCAGAGGGAGCAGCTAGGAAGGTTAGAAAATCAGTGAGTGCAAGAGGAGATGGAGAAAATCAAGGAATTTGGCAGACTCTTAGGCCCTAGAGGGGTTTGGGGGGAAGAAAAGGGAGAACACTTCTATGGATGGCTTCAGAAGTGCATGAAGATAGCAGAACAGAGGTTAGAAGTTGTGGGAAAATCAGGCAGGAGAACAGGAGACAGATGCTGAGACTAGGGTTACTGCTGTGTATAAAGAGAGGCCTGATACGGCAGAAACAGGCACCTCTGCTGGGGTCTGCGAGAGGGTGGGAGGGATGAAGGCAGTTCTGGGCCACAGCCAGATGGTGAAGTGACACCACGGAAGCAGCTGGAGACATCCGGTCTTCACACAGAGGCTCCTGCTCCTGACACAATCCCAGGCCCCACGCAGCCGCAGGGCAGATCCCAGGTCCTGGGAATGGAGACGCTAACTGTGGTTTGCACAGTTCCAAAGAGCTCCTTAGACAGAGAACAGGACACTGCCAGGTCAGTGACTTCCTACACCAAGAGCATCAGCATCAACACTTATGTAAGTCACCATGTTACCTCGACTGCAAGAAAAAGTTCAAGTAAATAAATTTTAAGAAAGAAAAAAAAAGGAGAAAGAACCTAGAAAAGGTAGCAGTGTGAAACAGAAAAATATGGGGGTGAACTTGCAGCATATGAATCATAAACAATTGCTACTATCCGAGCCTTTAGAGAAAATTCCTGCTCTGCCCTACCTGGGCACCAATGCCCCTGCAGGTGCTCTCACTACTTCTCCTGCAGGCACACACCATGCACAGTTTTTGAACTTGCCAGAGAACCAGCTTCATGTCCTGTCATTTGTCTACTCAGTGCTCACATGGGTCTGATTGCTGGCGGTGGTCACCTACTCAAGAGGAGCCTGCTCCTCCATCCTTCCTTCTCCTGGTTTACTGCCTTTGAGTTGACACTATGCCCCTACTGGGCTATAAACATCAGGAACACTCATCTCATCACTCAGCATTGCATACACACAGGCCTGCTGTCCTGAACAATGGCAGGAACGCAGGAAGGAGTCAGCAGCTAGGAAGCAGCCAGAGAAATACGCCCAGAGCTCAGTGGGGAAAAAAACTGGAGACATACACTTTATCATCTATCTCGGAAACTAGCATCTCTAAGTTTGGATTTTATCCAGTGGAGGAGAAAACAAAAAGCAAAGGAAGAATAAGAAGAGATCTCTTATAAATTCTAAAGAATAACAATTAATGATGCAAGCAGATAAATGCTCAAAATAAAACAAAAAAAAAACAACAACACATAAATAGAAGTAGAATAGTTTAAGAAGAAAGCTACATGTTCCAATTCAAATAAGAGGAAGATTGGAAGAGGTCCACTATATTTGGCAATACACAGGTCACGGGGAACACAAGCTTACTCAGTTCTTGAACTCTGAGTACAGGGTCAGAAAATCAGAGAATAAACATGCCTGTTTGACCCTCATGTAAAGTTCAGTGGGGAATAGAGATGCTAAACTAGGTAATCACAGTAGGTAATTATTGAATATATAAGGACAACCATAGTATCCCAAGGGAGAACTAATCTCATCTAGACTTTTTAGTCTTGTAAAGCAAAATGTATGTTGCTGATCCATATCCAGTGCCCATTCATAAAGTTCACATTTTGAAAAGCCAGCACCATATTCTGTGAGTATAGTGAAAACTGGTTTGCCCGTATTTGGATTAAACAGAAGCTCAAACATTGTAATATAACTAGATATAATTAAGTCTTCTGTAAAACTTACTCCAAATAGTTCGGTTAACTAAATGGAGCTCTAAAATAAATAGGAATTGGGACTGGAGAGATAGTAAAGTAGGCAGGATGCTGGCATTGCACATGGGCAGACCCGGCTTGATCTTGGCACCCCATATGATCCCAAGTCTATCAGGAGTGATCCCTGAGCAGAGACAGGAATAAGCCCTGAGCACAGTTGGGGTGTGTCCTAAAATCTTAAAATACAATAAACAAGAATTATGTACTCTGCTTGAATAGTTGGCAGAACTATTTGGATAATTTCTTTATTCAAAGTAGCACTGTAGCACTGGTCCTCCCGTTGTTCATAATTTGCTCGAGCTGGCCCAATAACATCTCCATTGTGAGACTTGTTGTTACTGTGTTTGGCACATTGAATATGTCACGGGTAGCTTGTCAGGCTTTGCTGTGCGGGCGAGATGCTCTCCGTAGCTTGCCAGGCTCTTGCGAGAGGCAAAGGAATCGAACTCAGGTCGGCCTAGTGGGTCGCACGCAAGGCAAATGCTCTAGCCACTGTGCTATTGCTCCCAAAGGGGAAAATACATGTACAATGTTTTAGAGACCAAAAAAAAAAAAAAAAGATAAAAAATGCCAGTCACTTGGAGCTAATAAGTAAAGTGTGTTTACTTTAGAGAATCTGGCCCTTAAGGGTGAAAAAAAGAGACAAACAGGCGTATATTCTCTCTGAAGATACTGGAAAATGATGAATACTTTTTAAAAGTACTATGGTATTGGGGGATTGGTGGGTGCTTATAAGTGAACACCACTGGACCCCTGAAGAATGTCCTCCTTGAAAGGCATTGTTTGTTACTTGCCAAACATTTTATTAATCAAGTCTTTGCCTTCAAATGTCTTGGGCTGGTTGCTTTCTCATTTGAAACAGAGCTCAAGGTTTTTTTCACCTTAGCTCACAAAGGCATTGACGGGGAGTTAGAACTGCATCCAAATTCCACCACTACTTTTGCTAATGGACAAGCAATCTCAGGCCAGAAACTACCTACATTTGACTCTGCCTGGAATCATTTCCAGCCTGGCCTGATTTCCCACAACTGCCCATTTTCCAATCTCCATTCCACTGTTCCAATCTCCTCCAGAGCTTATCACCAAACCCCACAGGTCACAGAGAAACCACTTTCTCCATCAAATCTCTTGGCCCATTTTTTTTTATTCCAATTTACTTGGCATTAAAAAATGCACCTTCTTATGATGTCCACTGGCGACTCAAATGAATTGAGCTGGGTTTTTGTTTGTTTGTTTTGCAGTGAGCCCCTTAAAGACACTCACTGGCTGCATCACATTTCATGAAAACGACAACAAAAAAACGAGTCCACTGGTGATTAAGGGTGGCCAACGTAAGAAAAAAGAGAGAGACAGAGAGACAAAGAGAGAGAAAGAGAGCCAGAAAGAGAGGAAAAGGGACAGGAATCAGATGAGAGAAAGGAAAAAGGCACTGCAGGACAGGCAAGAGTGTCCCTCAGGATAGAGAAAACTTCTAACTGAAACTGACTCAGCTGACCAGCTCAAGCAACGCCAGAGCTCCGATGTGACTGAGCACAGCGGCCAGTTACCCAAGGCCCTGAGTGGCACTGTCTGTCTCCAGCCAGACTTACCTGCCTAAAGACTTAGTGTGCGGGTGAGGGGCAAGCAACGAGGGCAGGGAGGCACGGAGAGCACTGTGCACGGCGATCTCGCCGAGCGGGGCTCGGGAACCAGAGGGGGCGGGGGGGGGGACAGGGCTGCGGGGCACGGGTGACCCTCCCTGCCCCGTGCCCGGCCCGACCGGGCGGGCGGAGCCACCCTTCCCCGGCCACGGCTCCTACGAGGGCCAGGCGCCTTCTCCCGACGCCCGCCGGGGCCAAGCAGGAAGAGGTGTCCCAGGACCAGGGCCCGCCGTGCACCTGAGCCATGCAGGAAGATGAGCGAGGCGCTGTGTCTGCCCGCCGGAGACACCCAGCAGCGCTGCAAGCGCGCGGAGCCCGACGCAGCCGCCATCGCGCCGTCGGCCCCATCCCGCGAGCGCGCGCACGCAGGCTCGAAGCGGGCGCGCGCCCGGGCTCGCGCGTGCGCCTTGCGCCCGGCGTGGGCCTCCGGGCGGCTGCGCTGCTCCCTGGGCTGTGCTCACCAGGGGCTTCCGGCGACCGCTTTGGAGGTGAACCCGCGAGGCGCTAGTTGGCCTGCCGTGGGGATTGCACTCTGAAAGCCCAGCGCCTTCTTGTATGCACAGCTCCTTAGTAGCTTGTTCGGTTCGGCCTGGGTTGGCCATATCAGTAACGCTGTCGTTTTTAAATCGGTTGCAGAGCTAGCTAAAGGGGTTAGACTTTACAGTGTTTAGGTTTCTTCTTCTGTTCTCCTTTCTTTCTTTCTTTCTTTCTTCTTCTTCTTCTTCTTCTTCTTCTTCTTCTTCTTCTTCTTCTTCTTCTTCTTCTTCTTCTTCTTCTTCTTCTTCTTCTTCTTTCTCCTCCTCCTCCTCTTCCTCCTCCTCCTCCTCCTCTTCCTCCTCCACCTCTTCCTCCTCCTCCTCTTCCTCCTCCTCTTCCTCTTTCGTTGTTGTGGTTTTCTCCTTCTCCTTTTCCTCCTTCCCCCCTCCTCCTCCTCCCTTATCTCCTCCCCTCCCTTCCCCTCCCCCTCTTCTTTTTTTTCTCCTCCTCCTCCTCTTTCTTTTCTTCATTGCCATCTCCTCCTCCTCCTCCTCCTCCTCCTCCTCCTCCTCCTCCTCCTCCTTCTCCTCCCCTCTATCACTGTCCTCCCGTTGTTCATCGATTTGCTCAAGCGGACCAAATAACATTGTGAGACTTGTTACTGTGTTTGTCATATCGAATACATCACCAAATACATCACCGGGAGCTTGCCAGGCTTTGCTGTGCGGATGAGATACTCTCAGTAGTTTGCCAGGCTCTCTGAGAGGGGTGGAGGAATCGAACTCAGGTCTGCTGTGTAGGCCATGTGCAAGACAAATGCCCTACCCGTTGGGCTATCACTTCTATTAATTTTTAAATTGAGTCAGTTATATACACATTTACAAAGTTGTTCATGAATGGATTTGTCATACAATGTTCCAACAATACCTGTCCCTTCATCTGTGTGCATTCCCTACCACCAAATGGTCCTAGTTTTCCTCCTGACTCCCCTTCCCACTGCCTGCGTCTATGACAGGTACCTCTTTCTCTGTCTCCCACTCTCTTCTCTCTCTCTCTCTCTCTCTCTCTCTCTCTCTCTCTCTCTTTCTCTCTCTCTTTCCTCTTGGAGGTGGCTTTTATTGAAAGGAGTCAAAAAGAAGCAAAACGCCAACGTGGATGTCGACGTGGAAGTGGAGGAACTGGAAATTGGAACTCGTACATGTTATATGGCACAGTGACTGGTCTGCTCTTAGCAAGTTAAAGACAACCCCGTGACACATAAAATTCTGTCACTAGACAAAGGAGATGAAAGAAGGTACACTCACACCAATTACCTGAATCTCAGTGTTCATAACAAAAATCACAGTAACCAAAAATCAGAGACAGATGCTCATTGAAGAATACGTGGAAAGCAGAGTATGGTATATGAATACTATGAAATATTATATAGCCCTTCAGAAGTAGCAAAATTCTGACATCTGCTACAATCTGGATGAATTTTGAAACTAAGATGCTAAGTGAGTTAAACCAGATCAAAGGGCAAATCCAGTTACATGAGGATTTGTTCTTTGTATCTAGATTAGTATCTAGACTAGGCAAATTCACAAGGACAAACAGCAGAACAGTGATTACCAGGTACTGAAGAGAAAAGAGAAAAGCAAGATAATGTTCCATAAGTATAGATTTTCTGTTTTGTAGGATGAGAAAAATTTCTTAGTAATTTTTGCACATGGCTAAACTATACTCTTAGAGCATTTCAAATAGTAAGTTACATTTTATCACTTGTTTTCAACTACCAAAGGCAGTTATCTCTAGAGTGATTATTTCTACAATAACCTAATCATAGACATCCTTTATACTGAGGGCTGTAGCCTCAACAGCAGGTTCATTCCTCATATAAGAACCATGGAGAGTAGCATGCTAAGTGAAATGAGTCAGAAAGAGAGGGACAGACATAGAATGACTGCACTCATTTGTGGAATATAAAATAACATAATATGGATAGTAGACACAAGGGCCAGGGATATTGACCCATAGTTGGAAGCTTGTCTCATGAGCTGGAGGAGAAGACAGCTGGAATAGAGAGGAGATCACTAAGTTAGTGATGGTTGGAGGAATTGTTCAGCATAGGAGATGTGTGCTGAAAGTAAAGGACCAAAAGTGATAACTTCTCAGTATCTATATTGCAAACCATAATGCACAAAAGAAGAGAGAGAGAGAGAGTATGGGGGAAATTGTCTGCCATAGAGGCAGGGGGAAGATTGGAAGAAGGGGCGGTAATACTGGGGACATTGGTGGTGGAGAATGTGCACTGGTGGAGGGATGGGTGTTCAAGTATTGTATAACTGAAACTCAAACATGAAAGTTATCTAACTATCTCACGATGATTCAATTAAAAAATAAAATAAAATGTTATTCTTTTAAATAAACAAAGAACCAATGTCCTGCAGAACTTCCTGTGGTCTCCCACTCATTGTAATTGTCATCAAGTTCAAGCATTTACAACCTCTCTTTTATTTGTTCAAAGGTAATTATCCTTCATGAGACTAAACACTCACTTTCACTGTTCAGTTGCCAAATTACGCTCTATGCTATCAAAGTTTTGTACCAAGGTTGTGAAGGAATTGGTCTTTCATTCCATTAATTAACCAGATCAAAAAGGAACTCTGAATTATTTCAGTCAAGCCAATAGATCTTGGGATGAAAGCTCTCCAAAATGAAGTCATGAATAGGACAGTCTGGGATGGCTTATCTCTGACAACCATTTTATTTTAAATGCTTCTATCTCTAGACTTGCCCAGATTCATGACTCGATAAAATGCAAGATCCAAGTGAGAGGAGGACTGTGTAATAGTAGGAGAATGAGTATGGAGACATAGCAGGTAGGGCTTTGATGACACTTTTACAATAATACTTAATGCCAGAAAGCCTTCCTGGGTATTGCCTCCAAGCTTTAGAGATAGCAAAGACAAAAGAATAGTCTGAAACATAATTATTTAACACTTAGGATGGTGATAACTAATGAAATGTAATCAAATAATAAGCAGGTGACAGCGATCAGGACTTAAAAGGTGCCAAGCACTATATGGAGTAAATGTCCTCAAAAATCTGTGCTATTTATATCTGTTATTGCCAATGTGAGGTAAGGAACTTGGGCAGAGGTCACACAGTCTGTATTTGGAAAAATCTGGTTTCACATGTTGAACTTGACTTCAGAGTTCAGGAGTTACTTTTATCAGTAATTACTTGTTAGCTCAAAAAAAGAAGACAAGGCCATACCCCAGATATTTTACTTAAAACACAAACTTCTGGCATTTGGATTGAGGTCCTTTCTAGTCCATTTATTAGGAGTTTCTGTGATTTTTCAGATTTACTCTAGTCTTGTTTAATTGTGATTTCTCTTCCACCTGGATTGGAACCAGTCTGAGCAGGTAGATGAACAGTACCTGCAAGTTGGGATTTTGAATTTCACCTAACACTTGAGCCTCCCCTGATTCAGGACCACTATTAGAATAATCCAGATTCTTCTCAACCTAATCAAAATGCTCTTTTATTCCCAGTGATTTAAATGCTTAGCTATTGTTGCTGTTCCTTTCATCTTTATTTATAGAACAAACAGAAGGTTTTAGATTACTATATTTAGAAATGCCATCTGGTAGGGAAACTATTGAACAAACTTTTTATGTTCCTTTCATGTAGCTGCATTACTTTGAAATGTAATTAAGTTTCAGAATGGCTGTTTGCTTCTTTTATGGCAGCTCTTTGGCCTTACTAGATTGAGGAGGGAAGTTATCTCTGAAATACTTTCTTCCATATATTGTGTTATTCTTTCTGCATGTCTTTCTGCATATATTGTTTTAATCTTCTACTGCTTATATTTTATATTTTATGTTTATATATTTTATATGTTTTACTCTTGTACTGCATATATTTTATCTCTGCATCTGCATTTTTTGGTTGTTCTTTATTTGGTTTTGGTCAAAATATAATATATATATCTGCTATCATTGCACCCTACTTTGTGGAAATTTCAGTGTCTAAATTAAGAAAATCAGATAAAAAGCAAAGCAAAGGATATAAGTATCTCACTTTATTCACGTTTTCCAATATTTATTGTAATTAAACAAGTGATAAATCAATGTTTGTTTTTATGTTTTGCTGCCTTAGAAATATGTTTTGGCACACTTCTTGGCTTTAAAAGTATTTAAAAGTGACAGATTAGCCAACTGAAGTAGTAAACTTTGTATTCTCAAATGATTACAGTGAAACAATTTGCATTCATCATGTAGACAGTATGCAGTAAGACCCTGTTTCTCTTATTTTTAAATAATAGGTCATATTTTCTCTCCATTGGTTGGTTTTTATATATTAAATTAAATGAAATATGGGAAAATTGCTCAGTTTTATATATTTTTAAATTAAAGCAAACTCATTTAAACACATACTTTATTTATTGAGAGAAAATGTTAAAAGAGAAAAAGAAATCCCTGAAGTTTCTGGATTCTTATCAAACATCACAATTAAACTCTTTAGAAAAGAACAATCATATGCTTTAAATATAGTCAGAACTTCAGTTCTGGGCACCTAAAATGCTTTTAGTTAAATTCTTCAAGTTATACATGTGGGGTCTCCTACTCCCTCCACTATTCTCAGGACTCAATGACGTCTTTTAAGAGCAAATGGATTACCTGAAACTGTGTGACTAGGTTGAGGATCATTGTTGGTCAGGAAGTATTTAATTTTCTTTCTATTCCCCAGAAGGACCTAGAACTGTATCTTAGAGATTACTTTTGGGATTAAATTATGCATTTAATTAAGTATGAACTTTTGCTTTCTTTCAGTCTGCTTGTATGGGGGTATGCAGGCTAGAAGCCAGGAAGAGCTAGAGAGG